TAGTAGTATTAGTGGTAGTAGTAGTAGTAGTAGAAGTAGTAGTAGTGGTAGAAGTAGTAGTAGTAGTCCGTCCGTAAGACAGGCTGGTGGGGGAATAGACAATTCTAAGTGTTGCGACACTGTATTCCCGCCCTGGTTTCTGCCTGCCAGTCCCAAATGTCTTTGCAGTCCCGCGTTTTCTACCATAGGTGTCAGAGTCCGAATTATTCACTGGATGCTCATCTAAGGGGGCGGTACGCCTATCATTTGGTTTCGGCTGGGCTCTACCCTTCCTTTTATTAGTGCTCGAATTAGAAGTACTTGCTAGAGCCTCAGTTGGAAAAACAGAGTGCTGATTATCCTGTTTACACCTGTTGTCTTTTTCTTTAGGTTTACGTCTCTGCAGGGGTGTTAAGTCTGGACTTATGAGCGAGTTTATGTTCCGCAGACTTCTGCTTAATTCAGGGTCTTATAGGACTATCTCGGTTTTGGCCTATGAGTAGAAGGTTACTAACACGGGTTTACATTTACGTCTTGAGTGAAGTCTCTTGGTGATAACTATGTGGATGTGAATGCTACAGGAGTGTAAACGTTTGTTGAATTGTTGGTGTTGGGTTGACCGTCTGTGCTGTTTGATGTACGTACGGTACATTTTTGTTTGACCAGTGTTCTTTACGTGCATGAGAAATAGAAAAAGGCCACAGATGGGAATTATCCAGCAGATATCACATTTTGGACTTCAAAAGGCCTTTGACAGCGTACCACACAGGCTTCATTTACAGACGATTTTTGACATAGGAATTCGGGAAAGAGTTTTCAGCTGGACCAGTATGTCTTTGCCCTCCGGAGTCTAGAGAGTCGTCGTTGGTAATTCTACCCCAGAGTGGGCAAAATGGACAGTGGAGTCCCACAGGGTTCTGTTTGAGGCCCACTTCTTTTCCTGATTTATATCGATGATTGCACCAGGAAAGTGGATTGCAAGGCTGTCATTTTCACGAATGCTATAAAAATATGGAGAAGGTCAACTGTTTTGATGGTGCAAAGAAGTGGCAATCGAGCGTCGAAAAATTAATTGTTTGGTCAAACAGATGACTCTTAAAGTTTGCTGTGTCTAAATGCGTGCTCCTACGTCTAGACGCCGGCCAAAATACCCCTCTTAAACATCAGCACAATATTAGAGGAATGGCACTAGAAATGAAGAAAGACTACGATCTGGGCATATAGGCGACCGCAAGTCTACTGCCGTCAGAACACTGGACCAGTCATTTGTTTTAGTTATATTCTTCTAAGCTCCCGACGTCGAAGTTTCCGTACATACAGAGTGGCGCTAACTGCGAAACTCCATTTACTCCATTTCCTAAGTACGCTAAATCGAGTACGTCGCTAACGCCAAGACTGCTTTTATGACGAGGACTACGAGGAGATCTGCCATCTGCTTGCTGGGAAGAATAAGCTTTACAAAGACTTCGTCAACTACCGGACCAATCCCTGCCAACACGGCCGTGGGAGCCAGACGGGGCTAGACGGGGCCAGGCCCCGTCCAAATTTTTGTGAATTTCCATTCTTTCTATTGACGTCATTCTGTATTATTTTAGATAGATTTCGCTCTCTTATCGTTAAATATAAGCTTTTTAGCTTGCATTCATTATTGCAAATGAAGGTGGGTAACATATTGTTCACGTAAGGATTATGAGTGTACAGCGATCAAAAGTTGAATATTATAACCTACTGTACGGAGAATTAGGAAAGGGAAAATACTGGTAACGTAAATGTGGGGTTATTATCAAGGAGATCTCCTTGCTCACGCATGGCGTTCCCCTGCGCGTTTTTTTTTCGAGGACGGGGCCAGACGGGGCTATCGCGTCCACAGCCCCGTCGCAGCCCCATCAGTAGCCCCGCCCAGACGGTACCCAGCCCCGTCTGGCCCCGGGGGCTAGACGGGGATAGTGCTAGCATGGTCACTATCTATAATGAATGAAGGTGGCAAACATATTGTTCACGTAAGGGTTATGGGTGTACAACGATCAAAAGTGGAATAGTATAACCTACTGTACGGAGAATTAGGAAAGGGAAAATACTTGAACGTAGATGGGGGGTTACTATCAAGGAGAGCATGGCATCCCCTGCGCGTTTTTTTTCGAGGACGGGGCCAGACGGGGCTATAGCGTCCACAGCCCCGTCGTGGCCCCGGGGGCTAGACGGGGCCAGACAGGGCTGATGCTAGCAGGGATACAAACAACAGGGCTTTCTTCAGATGTCGTCTCTATGTTCAGCTAAGGCCGAGGGAGCTGGAGAAAGTCTGGATGGATGGAAAGGCCGAGTAAATCCAGGGATACGCGGAGCGCAATGAACCAAACTACTTTTTATCGACCACGATGTTCATCTACCCCACCGCCAATGGGACCGCGTCACTTCTCAGCACTGATTGAAAAACACATCTGACGGAAGTATTGTGAATTCTGAAGAGATATGCTGAAAACGTCAGAAACGTTCCTAGCCGCAAATCTATAATCTCCGAAGTAACCACTGACTGGCTACTTCAAAGGAAGATAAGCAACGACCTAGACTCCTCTCCTCAACTCCCAGAAACAACTAGAGCTGCATATCAAATACGCAGCTGGAAAACGCCGGGATCCAACGCGATCCCGGTCGAGGTTTACGAGCACGGGGACCGTCGGTTGAAGGACAAACGTACAAAGCTATTCCGTCAGACATGGGGCCAGGCAAAAATGCAACAGTATTTAAATTGCACGACTATCGATCATCTGTATAACTGAAAGGGAAACGACGAGTTTGCGATAATCACAGATCAATCTGGCTGCCGAACATAGCCGCAATTCTAAGTCGCCTCAACTACAGTCTGAAACGCAGGGTCCTCCCAGATAGACAATATGGATTCCGACGACACCGCGGAACAACCCACACAATATCTGCCGCACGCCGATTACAAAAGAAGTGCTCGGAAATGCGACCCACCTCCACACCAACTTCATTAAGCCGATGAGGGCTTTCAGTCCCTTGAATCGTGGTGTTATCTCAAAACCCTGCAGCCATTCGGTTTTTCTGAACGTTTAACACACGTGGTGCTTCGGCTTCACAATTGGCTGACGTCGTGCATCGTGGACAACAAGGTAATCACAGAAATATTTGCAGAAGTCAATAGAGTGAATCGAGACGGCGTTTCCGCTCCCGTCGTCTCTAGTAGCATGTTCTCAGCCATGCTGATGGACGCATATTACAACGAGCACTATGCGATCTGCCTTGCCTACAGGACGGACTGCCAGATTCTCAACACTGGACGAATGAAAGCGTCTGTAGAGACCTCAACAATCACTGCCCATGAACTCGTCTCGCGAACGATTGCGCATTCAGTATCTCAGAGGAAGCAGCCATGCAAAGCATCATCGCCCCTTCGCTGCCAGCTGAGACAGATTTAGGCTAACCATCAGCAAGGACAAAACGGTGGCCATAAGAAAGCCGTCGCAATATACTGAATACAACGAACCTCACAGCACTGGTAACGACACCCAACTCCAATCCAAGGAAGAGTTCGATTATTTCGGGAGCACATTCTCACGCAGCACCGCCAGATCTCCAAATACAGTCAGACCACTTATAGGCTGCACATCTACGCGTGGTATCGCCATAGCCTCCAACTCGACACTAAACTCGAGACGGAAAAACCTGTCATTTTGACAACATTGCTGTACGGAGCGCAGCACCAAGCGAGGAACCTCAACTATCTCAGCTGTCACCAAAGAATAATAAAGCCGAGAGAACGCCACCTGGATGCATTGTCGGTCACGTCAGCGACACCTGCTGGACTATGTCCTCGTCCGGAGGCGAGACTAACTGGAAGTGCCGGTGGCAAAGACGATTCCGGTTGCTGATGGTTGGACCGACCATCGCCTCGTCATCTCGAAGAGGCGTATTCGCGTACAGTCCCGCAGGAAACCCCAAGGTAAGCGACCCCCACGTAAGCTGAATATTTACTTGTTGTCTTTGCCTGCTCACCATGTCCGTTTCAGCAACGAACTAGCTCAACGGCTAGACAACCTCCCCGTCGCTGTCGCCGCTGCCGCTGACAAGAATGCCTCCGTGGATGACCGATGGTGTCCACTGCGGGACAGAGTCTAGTCGACAGCGCTGGCTGTCCTCGATCGCAAACGCCGTCAACACCAGGAATGGTTTGATGACGACACCGCCATCAGCAACCTGCTCGCCGAGAAGAACTGCCTACACAAAGCCTACGTCGACCGCCCCACCGACAACAGAGCTGCCTTCTTCCGTTGTCATCACCTCATTCAAAAGTGACTGCGCGAGACACAGGACGCCTGTACGGCTCGCAAGGCTGAGGAGATCCAAGGGTACGCGGATCGCAACGAATGGAAGAATCTCTTCTCCTCCATCAAAGCTGTCGATGATCCGCCGGCTAAAGGCACCGCTCCTCTCCTGAGCGCCGGCAGCAGTACCTTCCTGACTGAGCTGACACAAATTCTCCAGCGATAGGCCGAGCACTTCCGATGCGTCCTTAGCCGCACCTCCACTATCTCCGACGCAGCCATCGCCCGTTTGCCGCAAGTGGAGACCAACGTCGACCTCGACCTCCCGCCCTCTCTACACAAAACCATCAGGGTCGTGCAGCAGCTCTCCTGTGGTAAAGCAACCGGATCTGACGCAATCCCTGCTGTAGTCTACAAGCACGACAGCCCCCAACTCATTGATCATCTGACTGCGCTCTTCCAGTAGATGTGGCGTCAAGCAGAATTCCCGAAGTATTTCAAAGATGCCACAATCGTACATCTATACAAGGGGAAAGGAAACCGTCAGCTCTGCGACAATCACTGAGGCATATCCTTGCTGAATATCGCCAGTATATCTTTGCTAGCATCCTCCTCAACCGCCTGCATAATCACCCAGAACAGGGTCTTCTACCGGAAAGCCAGTGCGGCTTCCGCCGTCACCGTGGGACCACGGACATGATCTTCGCCTCCCGCTAACTTCTGGAGAAGTGCCAGGAGATGCGAACCCACCTGTACTCTACCTTCGTGGATCTGACAAAAGCTTTCGACAAGGTGAATCGTGAGGGATTGTGGAAAATCTTGCGGAAATTCGGCTGTCCAGAGCGATTCAATCAGATGGTGCGCCAGCCCCACGGTGGCATGATGATGCGAGTCACGGACAACCGAGTTGTCTCAGAGGCATTTGCGGTGACCAACGGAGTGAAGCACGGATGCGTCCAGGCGCCTATTCTCTTCGGTTATGTGTTCGCTGTCATGCTTATGGACGCCTACCGTGACGAACGCCCCGGGATCCGCATCGCCTACAGGACGGACGGCCACCTCCTGAATCAACGGCGGATGCACTTCCAATCGCGCGTATCCACAACCACAGTTCACGAACTTCTCTTTGTCGACGACTGCGCCTTCGACAACACCTCGGAAGAGGACATGCAAAGGAGCATGGACCTCTTCTGCGCCGCCCGCGAGAAATCCGATCTGGTCATCAACACGGAGAAAACGGTGGTCATGCACCAACCGCCAACCAACACAGTCCCCCCCACAATGCGCCGCAGATCAGCGTGAACGGAACCCAACTGCGAGTGGTCGACAACTTACGTATCTGGGCAGCACTCTCTCTCGCAACGACAAAATCGATTTTGAAGTGACCCGCAGGAGTCTCAAGGCCAGTCAAGCCTTCGGTTGTCTTTAAAACACAATCTGGAATCGTCACGGTTTTCAACTCCGAACGAAACTGAAGATGAACAAGGCCATCATCCCGCGACGCTGCTATACGGAGCAGAGACTTGGACAGTGTATACGAAGAAGGCACGCCAACTCAACCACTTCCACCTCAGCTGTCTTCGCCGCATACTGAAGCAAAGGTGGTAGGACCGAATCCCGGATACTGATGGATTGGAACAGACGGGAATCCTCAGCATCTACGCCATGCTGGGACAACTGCAGCTACGTTGAAGCGGCCGACTTGTGCGAATAGGCGACGAGCGGCTACCTAAACGACGTCGCTACGGGTTCGTGCCGCCAAGGAGGCAAAATTCGCTGATATAAAGATACTTTGAAATCCTACTTAAAGCGTCTGCAAATCATTCCGACCAAATGGGAAGACCTGGCCCAAGACCGACGGGCATGAAGGAGGACAGAGAAGACAGGCGCTGTGATCTACGAAGCCAACTGCATTGCCGCCGCGAAAATGAAACACAAAGCAGGCAAGTCCCAGCTGCATCCACCCCGCAGTGCCAACGTACACCCGCCTCCGACGTGTCCACGTTGTCAACGGACATTTCGGGCGTCAGTTGGATTTTTCGGACAACTTCAGATCGACTGCAGCACTCGGACTGCATTAACCGTCGTCCGTCCATCCACATTTTCCTCGCCCTCTACGCCATCAACAAAGCGGACCGCCCTCCTGAACCATCACTTCCATCCTCCTCCGCCCCAACGCCTGCCGTTGTGGCGCCTGCCACGCACATCAACGCTACACACAATCCTGACACGCGAACAAACCCTAACACCACCACCGCCGCCGACATCAGAGGCTAGGACCAGGATTACGCCCGTCCTCACTGGGACCGCACCTTCACCTCACACATCAGCCTGGTCGGTCACTTGCTAGTCCATCGCACAGAGACTGGCGTACCAGAGCTTGAAGCACCCGCCTACACTCGCCGCATCCGCCTCCACTGTCCACACTGTCCTCGCACATTCATGAACCGCATGGCCCTTTTCGGCCACATGCGCATCCACGAAAACTTGCGGTAGACAACCGTCGGCCGCACCACACGACATTCTTCCTCACCGCCATCTCATCGCACATCAACATCACCCACTACAAGTACCCAAATGCCACCTCCTACACAAGTCGTAAGTGTGCGTCTTGACTCTTTCTCCGTGCGACCCCTGTTGTATGGGTGACTCGAGTCTGGGACTATCCCGACGCGTCAAGCGCCGTAAATTGGAAGGTTGCTGACTGACGCACCAACTCGGTCCACACAGTCCGTCCAGTTGTGTTTGTGTGTGTGTTGTGTGGAGTGGCGGACTGGGGGCCGGGCCGAAACAGCTCCTTCAACGGCACTCACGCGTGTGAGAGATACGCCGCTCAACCTCCGTTGTGTAAAATCCTGGTGTTTGTGTTCGGGGGGCCAGGTCGTGTATGTGGCGTGCGCAGAAATGGTCACTATACCATGTCAGCCGCCGCGCCCATTCCCCGCTGCAGTCAACTGACCAGCTCGGACAGGGGCTGAGGTGTGGGAATAGAGAGGGAGGTCGACGACTCAGCGCATTTTCCTCCTAACTATAAGCAATCCGACGAGCTTGAAGCTATCACGATGCTCTAAAAGCCGTGACTTGGAAGGTTGCCAACTGACGGGATAACGTGGACCTCGCAATCGGCCCAGTGTTGTATGTGTTTGTGTGGAGTGGCCGGCTGGTGGTCTGAGAGTCAGGCTGCAACGGCTTCTTCTTAATGTGGCCTTTATGGCACTCCCACTGTGTGGGATCCGAGCCGGGTGTGGGCGGCACGCCTAGGCGCGGTCTCGGCCGTGCCAGCCTCCAATCTCTCTTGTTGTTAGTCAAAAACCCGGTTATTTGTTGTGTGGACCAGGGGATGTGGAGTGGAACGCCAAGGTGCGCGCTCGGGCGCGCCATCCACTTGCGCCCTTCCCCGTCTCCGGTCTTCTTGACTCTGTCTTGACGCCGGGTGCAGGTGGTAGTGGAGGAGAGGGTGCGGCAGATGCTGTGTAAGTCTACTATCACTATAAACTAACGCACAAATCACCTTCCCTGCTCTTACCTTGTTGTGAAGCACATGGTGGACGTCGTCGACAACGACGGTCGAACTTTCGGGGCTCCGGTCATGTAAGTGGCATGCACGTTGGAACTGTTTAGCTCTGTTTGCCATTACACCCAATCTCAACATCAGTTGATTGGCTGGCTCGGGGTATCGACTATTGCATGGAGAGGGGAAGGGAGATTGAGGCTAACCCTTAGCACATATTCTTCACTATAAACGAAATGACGCGTTCTAGCCTATCATAATACGACAAATATAGGGGCTTGGAAGGCTGCTAAATGACTATTTCTGCTCAGATCTGGCAGTCAGCCCGGTTTGCGTCTTGTCTGGCTTGGCCGACTGTTGAACTTAGGGCCAAGATGCAATGTCTGCCTCATAATTTGGCCGTTGTGGGACTCCCACTCTGCTAGGATCCGAACCGCCCCCCTTCCTGTGTGAGATCCTGGTCCTTTTTACACAAATCATAGGGATGTTGCGACACGTACAATAACTGATTCACGCCGCGCCCACCCTGCTTTGGGATACACGGTAAAGATCGCCGAAATCGACGGTCGAGCTGTCGTGGGCAAATGGTCTGACTGGGGTACGCACCTGATAAGCGAGACTTCTGTGGCGTGGACCATCCCTGCACGTGAACGTCGAACGATAAGAATAGTGCATCGAGTTCCTAGCCGGCATAACACAGGTCTTGAAAGGCACGTAAGACGTGGGAACGCTACTGAGAAGCACTAACCGCGTAACGATATATAAACACCAATTCGGAAGTTTGTGTGAGAAACCAACCCCGTAACTGGACATCTGGAACCACGCACAAATGAGCCCCAAGTGGAAATGAGTCCACAAAAGTTAAGTAGGGTAGCCTTTTATTAGCTTAAAATGGAGTACGTAACCCTTCAAATCTGTCAAAAGGCTGATGAAAAGACGGGGTCGCTGCAGTTACAGTCAGCTATCTGTGTGCGACCACGTAGTCAGTTGAACCATGACAGTATGGTGCTCGCAGGTTCACACAGACCCTGTTGGTAATCCTTCAGAGGTTTAAAACTTTTACAGAATTTGTACAGAGCTGGTGAAGAGAGACGACAAAGGTGGAGGACAGAAAGGGAAACTGAAGGATCGCAGTGTTCTCAGTCACTTAAATGGTTTCACCGTAGACGCCGTAGAACACCTCGATGCAACACTTCTCTGGCTTACGACCGAATGTGCCGACGTCACAGATCGACCTTGAACAAGCGAGAAAATGAATCAGAGGAGCATGTAAGGTAGACGGCTTTCAAATTAAGCATCAGTAGTCTTAAGGAAAATAAGTCACAGGGGATTTATGAAAAAATAAACTACAATACTATTGGAGAAGATGTGAAGGCCTACTACTGCAGGGCATTACTTAAAGTTTTGGTAATAAAATAACCCAAGTTTATTACAGCGCAGAGCGAGCGCTTACTGGCCCGATAATTCCGACCTCCATATTATTGCAAGATTGAGTTCGAGTCCCGAGTCGGAAGGGCAGACGCTTCATAACCGGGAAGTGAGAAGCACAGATAGTCGTCAAAACTACATAATAGCTGTCCGCACCTGCACTGTCGGTATTACGACACAACGGCGACCGACCGGGGAAGTAATGGTAAGCGTTGTGTGGACATAGGATTATGCGGAAATTAACTGCCACCCTTGGAAACGGTAATCTGCTGTACAATAAGAAATATCATTGATTTGTAATTGCACTCTATTCTGGGTCACGCAATGAAATAAACCTGCTTGGTTTCAAAAAACCTTAATACCTAGCAATGGGGTTATCAACAACACCATAAAGAGTCACGAGTCGTAGCTTGAAGTAGATTTCCCAAGTCCTCAAAGTTCGCGGAATTTGAGGACGCCCGGCTCCACCTAGCCTTTGGCGGGACCCTAAGGCGTAAAGAACGGTGGTGAGTGGCACGTTACTGGATGATAAGCAACAATTACGATGTAGTACCGCATTGTCTTAAGATCTTTATGCAGGTTATCGCCAGCTAGGTGTCAAACCAGGCCTTAAGGCACTATTGCTGCCTGTTCTGCGGCTGCCCATTCAGCAGATTCAGGAGCCCGCTTATTTTACGGAAGACCTTCGACTAAGGCTTTTTCGTTATCCAAAATTTGTGAGCAAACCGGGTAGCCCATAACTAGACAAAGAGGAGGATCCGATCTCTTTAAGGTTTCCGCGCGTCTCTCGGTGAGGTTTGAAGGTTGACCCTTTTGAAGGAATGAAGAAAGGCTTCGAGTCGTTAACCAAACTGGACATCTAAGGATTTTGGTAATGATGACCGAAAAGGGTGTATACTGAAATGCTCCCCAAAATGGTCAACTAAGATGGGAGTAGGTTCGGCTTCGAGTCCTAGAACTAAAACCGCCATTTGCCCAGCCTCCAATTTTACCGAATAAAGCTAAGCAAGAGCAGTTGTGAGGTTGTAGAAAATCTAATCAAAAAGAATAACTAAACTGGAATCACTGTCCTTCTGGAAAGATGTCGGAAAAACTGACAGCCCCTATTAGAGTGTAGACAAGTTTAGACCGTTCACCCCTGCACTGACTAAACGTAATAGTACGATCGTTCTCGTGTATTTCAAATGAGCTACCTATACCTAGAACGTTCTGCTAAATAAAACACGGAGAAATGAGCCCAAGTTCACCTATTATTAGCATAGAAATAGGATAATTACTAGCTTAGTAAAAATGTAATACTCTGGAATCACATGTTCTTAACGCACTTTTTGAAAGTCTTTAAAACATGGCATGGGACAATCGCATTCACGCTGCCGAAGACTTGATCTATATGACTCGAATTCGGGAATTGGCCGGGCCAAGGAAACGACTGGACTTCAAGTTCTGATTTTGATGTTTTAATGGACGCGGGAGATTTTAAATTAAGAGTGTACCACGGCACGCCGTCCGTCAAGATCCCCTACTTTGCCAATAAAAACGAAAGGACGGGTTCCAGGGAGCAGCTGAGGCGCAACGGCAGGAAAGGGAATTTTACCCGCCTTAACTTCTCAGCTTCTCACACGAACCCCTCATGAGACAGTAGCAGATAATAATGAACGCGCGAGATGCCGTATTTATAGGATGCAGTTGTCCTACCACCAAATACCATACTTAAAAGCTCCCGCATATTCCAACAACGGTCGTAGTTGGCGAGACGATTGCTTACTCGTCTGCGTCCGGGCTAGTACCTCAACTTCATCAGTGGTTTTGAATAATGGCTGCCCGTGGACAAAGGGCGTCCCACTGTCGTAGTGGGCAGGGCAGACTGCGTAAAATCAGTACAACGTTTTTGGCACTGGAGAATTCAGGTGCATTAGTGCCAATCGACGGACTTATTTCGAGGGCTTAAGAAACAGTCTTGGTCCAATTCTACGGCCCTTCAAAAGTGCACAAGGAAGGCGCTTATCTCCGATCCGTCGTATCAGTCAAATGCGCTCCAACATATGGATGGGCAAAGTGGCTCTTCCGGCGTCCCAAATCTCTGCTGCTACAGACACCACAGCCTGTTCGTCAACACAACTGTTGAAGAAATTTAAATAGATAAGTCTCCGGACAAACGAGCTCGAAGTATCCGTTTATGGCGTTTCTCTCTATACTTCTACTTTGGTAGTCAAGGCCATGGAACTAATTTGCCAAAGCAAATGTACTGAAACATGGAATCGCCTCGGACACGCCTGAATTATCCAAATCCTGAAGTGTTGTCTCAAGACATGCTTCATGTCCGACGGAACAATCTACGAACGGAAGAATGGCACACCAATAGCCTCATCGATTTCAGGACTCATAGCTGAGGTGACGCTGCATCGGCACGATTCATCAGTATTCCGAATCCCAAGCTAAAATTCTGGGCGCGGTATGCGGATGGTACTTTCGCAGTCACCGAATGAGATCAGGTGTTGACATTCAAAGGACATCTGAACCATCTTTCTAAACATACTCTTCACGACAAAGGAGGAACAACCAGATGCCTTCCTTGATGTCCTCGTCCGCCGCAAAGATTGTGGTCACCTAGAAAGCACATTTATCAGGAAGGTGGAAAATACAGAGCAAGTACTAAGTGTCAACAGCGACTGTCCAATCACCTACAAGCACAGTCGCGTAAAGACGCTATATCAGTATACTGGGACGTACTGCAGCGAGGACAAGATTGTCGAATTACAAAACTTTTGACGGGTGCTTAGAACGAATGCCTACCCGCACAGCCTTGTCAACAGGTACATGCACAAGATGCCATTTACAAGTGCACTGGTCCAATGACCTAACTGCTACTTCCGTCCGAGAATGTATTTGACGAATAAGCCTACGTGTAAGACGTCTTTCAGGAGACAAAATCAGGCCATTCCTGGTAAACGGGAGAAAGCAATCAGGGACATCCAGAGGAATAAGTATACATGGAAGGGCGCCAGCCGTCATGTTTAGGATCAAATTTGACCATTAGTCAGGAAGAAGTGACGTTATAGTTTTGTTACTTCCTCTGATTACATTTGGCCGACATGATTTAAGCGTCCTTCAAAATACATACCATTGGTCAAGAGGTTATCCAACGACAGAGACAAGTGCGCCAAATCGAGCATTTTAAATTCCTCCCCACCATTTGGGGTTCCGCGCGATCCAACGCTGTCATAGGTTTCGAAGGAAGGCAAGACACGTCGTCGAGTGGAGGCACTCGTTGTGGTGCTTCGCACCGAAGCGGTGTCACTGAACGCGACACTAGAGGCCGACGAAAGCCGAAGGACGTTTTTCTCAGTCGATGGTCGTTTGCCGGGTTTCACCTTGAGAGTTGGTGGAGCGTCCCCAAGAATCAGACCTTTAGGAAAGAGCTTCCAGGCTACCTAAATGTGGACAAAATTACTGATTATATCCCATCTATCGAAGATGATCGTAGTCTCCAAATATTTCGTGCTGTGGAGCAAACTGTAAAACAACCGGGAGATTTAAAAACTGTCCTAAGTGATAGTTGCAAGTGCCGTAATCCCTTGATTCATTGAGTCTACTAGGCGTCAGAATCCAGTAAAGCGACCGACTCTCTACACAGGTGCTAATTGTGGCATAAATATAGAGCGCTATACCAAAGGAACGACCACTTAATGAACGTATGTGTTCACTGAGTAATCTAACCAAGGCTCCAAGACAATATTCTTTCATAATAGCACCGCAGTACACCTACGGTTGAAGTAGGTAAGTTACAGACACTTATGATCAGTTTTGAATTCGCAACAATTAGGAAATTTGGGCTGCCCCAAAAATGTGTGTAGTTTACTTATAAATAAATCTAGGGTTTCAAAAAAGGAAAATACAGGGTAGATATTCAAAGATTCACAGCAAAGGACAATCGAGGTTTAAATGGCCAGCTTCGGCCATGAGAAGTAGAACAAGGCAGGGCGCCAATGGCACCGCGGAAGTCTTCGTAGGCAATTTATGAATATTACACTGTTATTCTGCTGAAACTGGTAGATCGCAGCTTGAATATTCATACCAACTTAAGGACTGAGCCTGCAAAGGTTTGTTATGAAAGATCTACTCCGACTTCGTCCATTAATTTTTTGGGAAAATTGAATTCGTCGGATATTGGAATAAACACCAGAAAATACATGGGAACGATGATGAACCGGATCCCTCGCAGATGCGTCATGCAACAACGCAAGATCAACAAAAACGTGTCTGAGCTTTTAATTAGTATCCGTGACATCAGAATGGTGAGTCACTCCGTTCAGTGAATGTCACAAGCACTTCAGCCCACAAAGGGAACAGGCGCATCAGATGGTGGGTGTAGTTTCTCAGTGTTAATACAGATCAGCGAAACAGTTGTCATGCTTCTCACTATTGACTGCGCTAGCGATGAAATCAGTATGGTTCTGAGCCTTGTCAGGTAATCTTATGATTTAGGCAGGACAAATGCACAACCGAAACTATTGACGAAGGATTAAAATCATAGAAGACTCCATTACCTATTTATTTGCGCTTCTCAAACTGCCGGTCGAGCTCGGCTGGCAGTTTAATGAAAAGAAATGACGAGTGTTCATTGCGTCCTTCAAATTGGGGAACGCATCTTTATGACACTGAGACCAAAACTTACTCAACTGGTTTTTTTACTAAAATACGATGCTATTGAACACAGCCTTCCGACGACATTCTGGTAAGGGAACGCTTAGGTGTTCGTCGTGTAACCCGAAGGTGACACCATGGATGGTGCCCTTAACCTGACTTGTTGCTGTGTCAACGATTGTATTTTCATGAACTGGCCAAGATCCTGTTGTTCGGCCATCAGTTAGACAACTAAAGTAAGTGTTAAGCTGCACAAAGGCAGCGTTTGCCAGTGCTAAGGCTTTACTGTCTGTGAATGCGATTGACTACTTGAAGAGACAGACAGCGAATTCATTTCTGCTGGTGCTTAACTTTGCCGGTTATAGTCGTCACAATGTCGTGCAACAGTCTACACTGGAGTGCCATTTTCTACATGGAAATCACATTCAAGAAGCCCTAACTGTGTTTGTGCCCTCCTCACGCTCTGAGCTAGACGTGCTCCCCGACAAGGATAACTTGAGCCTGGTGATCCAGTGTCTGTTAATATCCACATTTTTTAAGTTTCAAGGTATAACTTAAAGTTCTTCGAAGGGATTTATCAGCTAATAAGCGGGTTGATTTCAAATGTGTAAAAAATAGTAGGATTTAATCTTCGACATTGCAGAGTAATGTTAACACCGCAACACCATGACAGCAGGTCACGAACAAGTGGCTCGGTCAGTTCTCGAAGGTCATCCACTCTACACCAAAATAAGCCCCAAACTTTCGACGACGGAACCCGACGTACGTGCGAAAGTGGGCACCAACGATGTAGCCACGCGTCGGTTTCTTCCCCCTCGAGTTATTCTGGAGTCTGCTACAGGATTTCATGGTACAGCCTGCGCAATTAAAACATGCGGCATTTGGTTGACGGGACTGCGGACCCTTGCTGACGGGCTGGGAAGCTATGATTGACGCCGCCGATGCACCGCACGGCCGTGCAGTTTTTTTTCTGGTATTTTAGTGCTGAGCTTCTGGTTGCCAGCATCGTGACGCCACAACAGAGCACTACAGGATCCTACTGATATGTTGGTCGACATTAAAAATACACAGATATAAACTCAACGCGCTTATGAAAACATGCCTCGCAAAAGCGCTCGAATTAAAATTTGGGTTAACACGTTGGTTCAAGAGCCCAATCGTTGCTAGTGACGAGGTCAACCACTTCTTCCTGTGGGCTCAGCCGTGATCTGCGCCCAAACCTGTTTATGGCTAAGCAGATTTGTGCCCTCTAATCTTCTAACTCACACATTCTTTCGATAACAAGACTGAAGATGACCGGGGGTGGGCAAGGGCGTACTGTCTGATGCAATTAAACAGCATGTCACGCACGGAGTCGTCTCAAACCTCTGAAGGATTTCAGATCGCCGCATGTGAGAGGTAAGTCACAACTGTTTGCACGGCACGGCAGTTTTGATGCACGCTCAGTACAGCTAACTTCGGTGGTTTATGACGACTTCAGTAAGTTGTAACGAGAGATTTAGTGCTGGATTCGAGCTTGATCCACCCCACTCCGTCTTTCCGCTCCCTGCACCAGTGGTTCCAGTCCGTTTACTGTGTCATCTACACATAAGGCAATGACTAAAGACGTATGCAGATTCAGTGGAGTCCGACAAATGCGTTCCATGAGACGACTGCTCAGCCCAACACGTTCGCGAGACCCGTTTTGGAGCACATGTGCTGATACGCGTACATACACACGTCTGAAAAGAGCCTCGGTCTTGCCAGCGTTTTGTTTGCCGAAATTAAATTATGGCCACTGTATGGAACAAATCGTCTCGCCTGATATACCCTATTCCCCGCTTCATACAAACTTGGACGTGTGACTGCATTATGACTGGCGAATCACAACTTCCTAAGTAATGCCTTTCCCGTCCACTACGATGCACGTACAATCATCGCCTTTCGTGGCGATCCGTTCGTCATCCAGGCGTAGTTGTTCTGAGTGCGAGGACGCCAAATAATGAGAATTGCGCTCGAGGAGTGCTCCCGTGGCAGTGGATATTTTGGCCTCGGACTTAGCATTGATCTTGTCGGGCGTATGTGTAATCTTGGCTCCAAATGCCGCATGGCGATTGACGGTTTCCAGGGCATTTGTGATGCCTGACAGCGCACGTCTGATCTCACACGGACTCTAGATAGTGAGGCAACGAAATGGGGAACGCGAGCGTTTGGATGACTCGGTGCTCGCATTTTCGCCGTCTCTGGCGGAAAGTTCGAAATCAGATTGCGGAAGTTGTACATAACATCAAGAGCTTATGTACCAGGCGGGAGGGGAGGAGGTGTACGGGTGCCCAGGTGGAGAGGGCACCATGGCAGGGGTGGTAGGTCGCATCATGCAAATGGTGGCTGCTCCTCACGGTCTTTGACTGGCACCAAACTCTCATCCGTGGCTCCCTGAAGCTGGGCTTTGCCTAGCGGCCACATCTCGGTAACCGCCTCGACCGGCAGGTAAATCAGATGGGCGTAACCTGTGTTGTGTCCCCATAGTCGGCAATTCGGCCCCAATTCCCGTCCCTCCCCTCCCCCTTCCTCACTAGCCCTCTCTCCCACCCCCCACCCTCTTCCACTTCAAGGAGTCCTACGGAGAAGGCGACATGCAATTCCGTAGGCGATCCAGGCTAACTCAAGTCGTTCTCCCAGTAAATCAAGCCGTGACCCATAGTGGAGTTCGGCAGCCGCCTGGGATGTCTGAGCAGCTGCATTCCTGGACAGCACTGCTTACCGCCACATGGGGGAAGGGGCTAGGGAAACTGCCTTAAACAAATGCTGAAATCACGTCATCCGCACGCAGATCGTGGCTCGAAGATGTACTTCTCACGGCCAAAACAACTTCCGTCTCCAGACCTCTTCCGCCCGACTCTACAGGCTGCCAAGATGAGTCCGCTCACTCTGGGGGCCTGGAATTCGCTCCCTTTTAGAAAATATGAGACCGCCGACCGGAATGGAAGACGGTGTAAGTCGCTCGGGAACTGGCGCCCCACAAAGTGGACATCGCTACGCTAAGCGACACCCGTTTCTGCGAACAATGCCAAATGGAGGTGAGTGCCAGCTACAACTTCTTTTGGGGAGGTTATCGAGGGCAGAACGACGCGAAGCTGGCGTCGCCTTTGGCATCCGGAACGACATCGTGGGACAACTGTCCTGTCTGCCGCCGGGCATCAACGACGGCCTCATTGTCCTGTCCGCTTTTTTGTGAGCCAAATCCGCCACCATCATCAGTGCCTATGTTGCCTCCCCCAATCACCAGCTCCGACGAGACGAAAAACAAATTCAACAAGGACCTGCACGTCCTTCTGACGACTATGGCGAAGGCGGACAGGTTGAATGCCCTTGGTGACTTCCATGGCAGGGTCGGGACAGACCCCTTTGTCTGGAGGGGTGTTGCGTCTCCATGGTTTCGGTGGCTACAACGACACCGGCCTCCTCCTTTTGCGAACCTCCGCAGAACGCCGACCGCTCCTCATCAGCACCTGCCTTTTGATGTGGAACCACGCAACCTGGATGCACCCCTGATCGCGGGGCTGAAGGCTGATGGACTACGCTCTCGTCCGAAGGCGTTATCGACAGGACGTGCTGGCGACAAAGGCCATCAGCGACGTCGACGCCAGACGGTCACTGTCTTGTCCTTTCCTGGATGAGGGCTTCGATTGAAACCTCGCAGGGGACCACAAATCGGGTGGCCACCAGGTTATATAAATAATGTTCTATTGAATTTGCCTGCTCACATCGGTTCCAATAATCAGCTGAACTACCTACGAGCTGCAGATGAAAACCCCGTGGAGACTCGGTGGTCTCAACTGAGGGGCGCTATCGACCCCACTGCCCTGCACGTTCTCGGACGAGTACGTCGTGAACACCAGGACTTGTTTAATAACGCAAATATCAGCAACTTGCTTTCCGCATTCGCCTTCATTGTCTGCACTGCTCACTCACCGCTTGTGCCTATCCGGTCCCATAGGCATCCGCGATAGCGGAATTCACCGCAATATCGACACCAAGCATACCTTGCACATCGAGCAATTCTGACATCCCTAGGCCTAGAAACTCCTCATCAGCCAGCGCGACGTCCAATAGCAGCATAGGGACCCCAACCGACTCAGCAGCTCCCATTCTATCCTACCTATACTGTCACGACACATGCACGACATGCACAGTCTGGCCATTCACTTGCGAATCCGTCGCACAGAGAATGGCGAACTGGTGCCTAGAGCACTAACATACACCCACTGCCATCGCCCCAACTGTCCATATTGCTCTCTCACATTTAGCCATCGCATGAGCCTTATCAGTCACAAGCGTCCCCACGTGGGCCTATAGCTTAGACCACATCCCCACACATTCCCCATCAACACATGCGCCGCAAATGAAGACCTCCAACATCACAAGACGCAGGCACCTCCCGCGTAAGGGAGAAGTCTGTTCTTCGGCTCCTCAATGCTGCCGCAGTGCTTCATGCGAGACCTAGTCGACCTATCCCCTCTGTGGAATGCTAGTGCGTGTGCGTGGGGGTCCGATCGCGTGTGCGGCACGCGCAGACGGACTATTTTTAGCTCTGTCAGTCGCCTCTCCCAATCTCAGCATCAGTTGTTTGGCCGGCTCGGACAGCGGACTAGTGGCAGTATATGAGACGAGTGTGAGGTCGACGGTCTCAACGCATATTCCTCATTACAAACAATCCGAGACGCTCGAATCTATTACGGTGTGTAAAAGCCGTGGCTTGAAAGACTCAACCGATGAAATAGCTCTGTCCTCCTCCGAGGACGGAGAGCTAGACTGCAATGGTTGCTTCTTAATGCGGCCTTTATGGCACTCCCATTCAGTTGGGATCAGAGTCGAATTCCTTCTTTTTGTTGTGTAAAACCCTGGTCAGTTGTACGTGGTGGAGCAGGGGGTGTGGTGGCACGCCTAGATGAGGGCTTTTGCCATGCCTGTCACCTGCACCCTCTTCAGCCTTTGGTCTTCCTGGCTCTGTCATGACAGCGAACCTAGCTGGGGGAGGAGGGTGTGGTAGGTGCTGCGCAAGTGTACAATCAGCATGAGCTAATTCACGAGTAAGTCACCGTCCTCGCTCCCACACTGCTGTGGAGCACACAGTGGGCATCGTCGAAAACGACGATCGAACTGCCACCAAGATAGGACAGAGGAAAACCCGATTTGGTTAATTTTCCTGGGTGGTTTAAACAGCTTTGACCAGTCTGGAAGAACAAGGTAAACATCTGTAAAGGGGCCACAACAAGCGCCCCCGTAATACAAAGACCATGGCCTACTGAAGCAGAGTGGTCTGGCACAGCCTATTGAGTAAGTATGCACATATGAGGGGAATCACGTTATTTAGCTCTCTCTCTCTCCCTCTCTCTCTCTCTCTCTCTCTCTCTTTCTGAGTCCTGAGACCAGCGAACTGTTGAACTGCCATATTTCATAAAATTTACAAATTTTTTTTAATTGAAGAGCTTTTGAGATCTAAGTAGTTTTACTCTCAAGTTTCTACAGGCTTTGCCGTGCGAACGGCCATCATCTAACTCTGATTGTCAGCGGCCACATACTCGTCACAAACACCGGCATACCTATTTCGCAGCCAGTCTTGACCGACGGTCATTACAAATTCTGTCAGCCGTGAAAGAGTTGCGTAGGCAGCAGATAGGCCACCATACAGGTCATGCCTTTGAGGGGTCCCTGCCTTTCCACTGATCCTAGAACAGTCTCTCTCTGTAACCGTCTTAACTACAACAGGTCTAGAAATGAAAATTGACAAACCTTAAGTCCTCCAGCAAGCAGGTAGACATTGTCGTAACCACGCTGAGTCAGAATGGTTGCCACCCGCGGAGCGATGCGTTCATCCTCATCGTAGACGATAATTATGTGGTTGGGTCTGTTTCGAAATGCAAGCATCTCACGCGTCTCAAAGTTCATGCACCTGGAGAGCATGGTAGCCGGATAGTTAAGGGCTGAAATAATGAGAGAACAATGTGTTTGCAAGTTTATACTACAATATAAGCCTTAAAAGGTGATTTAGCCACTGAAATTGGTTGATAGGAGTTTCCTTAATGAACGCGCAAACCTTGAATACTACTAGCACAAATACTAAAGGAGCCTTAAACCTGAGTCCGAAAACGAATGGAGGAGCAACAGACACCAAAATATGGGTAAAACGTAGCTCCGATGAAAAGAAGGAGTAATGACCGCCAGAAATGTGCATTTTTGAGAAAGGGTAAAAATTGTTTAAGCCAAAAACGTGCCCGAGTAATCACGAGGGACAAGACTACTAAAAATATTGATGTCGAAGTTATATGAGGGAAAGGATCGATTGCCTACACTAGTTTACCTGTTGGCCAGTTTTATTCCTCACTAACCAGCTGATACAACAGGCACCTAAACTTTCGTGACTAGGAGGAAGCCTCAAAAGTAAACATAGAGGCGAGTGCTATCTTCAGAACCGTGAGTATACTTCCAGAAATTTTAGAATCGCTCGGCAGTATATCGTTAGACTCGGGAAAACTAGTAGTTAGGCGGATTTGGTGGTCCAACCGCAGGTCAGTCGTGTTTTTTCTTCGTTGGAAACGGACTCATCGCACTTTGAGTCGAACGTGAAGTAATGCAGACGAAGAGCACGTGGAAACGCATGTTTATCATATTTAAATGATGGGCACACGCCCCAAAAAGGAGGGTAATCTTGTATTGTTTATTAGATTAAACAAGGAAATGTAAGGTAGTTACACACGGTTGCCGTGAGAATAGTGAAATAATTAATAATTGAATTACAATTGGCGGTGAGGAGTGAGAATCAACTGCTTCGCCTTGTCCACAACCGGAAGGCAGGCGGTTAAAATGACATCAGTCCGTGTCCGCAACAGTTCAGGAGTCTACTTCGATATAAACAGCTGATAAGGACTTCGCGAACCGGTACATTAGTGTTGCTCCAGCCAGCATGCATAAAGACTTCACTGCCAGACGGAGCGACTCCGCATTCAACCACAAACACTAGCGGTCGACGCTTGGCATAGCCAAACATGTTACTATTGAAGGGGATAAACTCCTTCAACGGTCCAAGCATGGAAACTATGAGTGTCAATTCCGCTGAAGAAAATCCGTTCTTTTCCACAGGAGCTAAAGGTTCCCACTTTTGCCTTTCGAGCTATTTAAAACCGATACGCAGAAATACAGTTGTTTACGTGAATGGGAGAACACTACATGTTAGCAGTTACGCACAGGAAGGAAAATTAACTCAGACACTTGGCTGGACAAATAATTCAAGTTCATTTAAAAGACAAATTAGCTGAGAAGTGCAAAATTTTGATTCAATTATTACAGGCTTTAATTTTCTCCAACAATATCCTATGATTGATGCAAAGTGCCCATGGTCATGCGGACAGTCGCCCGTTTGTTCTGAAACAAATATTCAAAAAGTCGACTTTCATACGATGACAGATTTATTACTGGAAATATCCAATGCCTAACTAATTCCGGCATTTAGGTGGTTTAGTCACCGTGCAGACGTAACACATTTACTGGAGTAGGAAAACTGCAACCAGCCCCCCCACCTCTGAGGTTTGGCGTATGACTGAACGGAGGGATTATTGATCTACAATCAAGTAGAGTTGGGTTCCCTCGAGAACTGTCAGCCAAAGTATAGATGTGTAAAGAATATCTGTTTTAAAGCTTATCCTTCGGAATCATTACATTTTTATCACACTGGTCACCCAAACTTGCCAAGAAACATGTTCCAAAAAAGAGCCCCAGCGCATCGAAATATAATAGCTAAACTGTGTAAATATCTCTTCTTGCCAAAAACAGACGTTGTGATATGGTACAATTGACAAAATACTTACCCCCGATAATATGACAGCTATCAAAATCATCGCTGTCACGAACGTCAAGCAAGAGATACGGTTTGTTGACGCAGTCACCCAAGAGAGAAGCCGTGGAAGAGCGTGCCGGTGAACGGTCCGAAACCACGTCTATTTCGCCAATCCCACGAATAACACTGTAAAAAGGCGAAACCGCTGAAAGAAATAAGCAAATAAACAAACTGAAGTGCAAAAACAAACTAAATAAGGTGTTGTTGACATGTTTCCAGGAAAAAATCCAGTTTGCCCTATCTAGCTACCCAATCTAGCTGTTTTAATAAATGAACGATCCCTAAAGAAAATCAAACACTTGTCAGCTGTGGCGCCCCAGACCTTGAATAAGGCATGCCAAACTTGTACATTATTGTCTGTGGAGTAGCCTTGTACTTATCCTTTCCGCGGGTAGATCGCTTTATGAAAATCGTCTTCCCTTATGTTAGGGGAGGGCTTAATGATGGATTTTCTTCGGAAAGTCCGATTATCAACACTAAAAATCTGAAAGGCCTGAAGACTATCAGTTGTAAACTGCTCTGTCGTGTTTCATTTAGGGTTGTCCTTGGTGAAATCTGTATAACGGACGCAGTTCACCTCGTTTAGATAACAGGAGTAAAAAATGAACAGATCAAGGCGAATTATACAATACTTAAGGCCACATTTCAAACAGAGACGCCGCCTTAACTAGATGAAAATGTGGTCTTCGCTAGCGCAAAAAGGTTTACTAGCAAACTGAAAATTACCTTTGCGCTCGCTGCCCATACAAAGAGTCTATATACCTGGGAATCCCTGACAGGAAAAGGCAAGCAGGTCTAAACAATATTATTGTTGCCGGGTGTCCAAAACTCAAAGCAGCTGATTGACTTTGTAAATCAGTATCATTACATGGAGCTAAAGGTTACTCACTGGGGCAACTCTATATATCGTTGTACCGAAGAATTAAATAATAACATGGACGGAGAATAGAAAACTTTGGCGGAGAGAAAGCAAAGTGGAAATCAAACGGCCTTACGATTCAAGCTTTGGTCGCACTTTGGACGGTTCCTCCACACTAGCAGTCGTTGCACTCCTGTCTTCAGGGACGGCATCCACTTCGCCAGTTGCTGAAACAAAAAGTCTGCAGTTTTAACGCAACTAAATGGACCTCTGTTAGAATGAGCGAGCATGATGTTGGCACATTACTTGCTTTTTCTGCTTTAAGCATACGGTAACGCTGACTGGGTATGGCATGTGGTTTCAGCTCCACAGCGTCATACTAACTAGCCCATGACAGACAGACAACCAGTGCTACCTGAGAAAACGCGCGAGCACAGAAAAACGAGCACACCGTCCTGCTAGTATGGATTAGGTATAGCGGGCCCAGATGCCAGAAATCTTCACTGTCATACTGAGAGCGAGTCTCAACAGGCAGCTGTTATCAACCATATACAACCATAACGTGCCTCTGAATGTTGTTTGCTGTAGCAAACAACATTCAGAGGCACGTTATGGAGTATTAACGGAAAGCCATTTATCATAAAGCAGTGGGTAAAATAAATGTGCGTCTTCGGTATGCAACCCGTAGGCGAGAGGCTGCAGTACATTTACGAACCACAGAGACCTCTGGGACGTCAAAGAACTGTGGCCGTACGTCTCGCATAGACAGTGCCAGTGACAGATCTATCGCAAATACCTCGCACATATAGAAGGTCCAATAACCATCAATCAGTGGTGGCACCCCTCAAGACCTTGGTAAGAAAACCCTACTAAATAATGTCAATCGAAAAAGTGCAAGTTTTCTTAACATTTGCAGAAATCCTTCACAAGGACTATGCAGTTCTCGAAGGTAAGCCCGACCGGCAAGAGTTATTCCGACTTTTTTGGAGCTGAGCTGAATGTTATATTTTGAGAAAAAACAGCATGAAAGCTTTCATGCTGTTTTCTTCTCACACTCATTTGACGAAAGACAAAACGACAAACCGTAAGACGATGACTTGTGGTTTGTTGCCTCAATGGCTAACCTGTTGGTATGTGACAACAGTAGGCGAGTTATTCAAGAGGCGAAGCCATAAACGTTTATGGTATAAACGCTTAAACCATAAACGTTTATTGCAGTACTGCAATAAAAGAAAAGTATTCCCATTTCGACTTATAAAATGACTATGTTGCCCCTTTTCCCAAATAAACATATGTAGGCTATTTTTAAACTTTCACACAATATTTCTGCAAGCTTGTCCTACGTCCACCATATACACATCTTGCAACTTCTTTCAGGTTTAGAGGTTAGATATGAATTAAGCAAATATGTATGCGTACCGACGCCATTGACTTCGGCAACCTGCACAACAAGTTGGACAAAAGTAGTCATTTTCATTCTTCTAAATATTTCATCCGGCTTGATCTTGTAATCTGTGGAAATTAGTGGGGACAGTGACTTACTTTCGTTAAATTCATCTACTCTCCTTAAGTAGCTTGTTAAGCTGGCACCCGTGTTTATCGAGGACACTACATCCGCGTATCTCGGGTTTTTAGGTATTTTCTTTTGAAGAGGCTAACGAATAGCAAAAGATAAAAATGAACTTTACGTCAACGGGTTTCTTCGCGGCACGCATGTAGGCAGTTTCTATGGCTACTCCAATCTAAATAAAACCGTCCTGACCGCCGTAACACTAGAGGTCGGGACTTTGGTCAATATAGCAATTTGCCCAAGTTTGGAAATTTTACCGATTAACTCGGTTGCCAAAAAATTTCAGCAAAATATCCGCAAAGTTCGAGTGATTTTAACTCATAAAATGTAATATTCCTTTGTTACCAAGAATGCATTATCCAGAAGATGGTAGAGCGTAGGATCGACAGGCGTATAACCGACCGTTCGTGCCGTTTCGAACGTACGGTAGAGAAGGAAGTGCAATTTCCATCCCTTTCCAACTTTTTTACTGGCCAGCTTTCAGTTTCTCGCCCATCAACATTTTTCTGTTGATGTTCATGTCTAATTCCACACACTAAGAAAGTACTATTGCCACGTGAGGTACCGATGGCAACAATTTTTATAAAAACTGACGCACAGTGGAGAACACAACATGAAATTCAGACATAAACCTGCAGACGTCGTACAGATTATTTATTAATTAAGTCGCATTGTCGAAATATATCTTTAGTAGTAGAACGCCTAGTAAAATTAGTACTAATAGTGCATGGATGATGCTCTCCGTGTTCTTACAAGCAAAAGTCTTATCATAAGTAGGAATATAAACTGGTTTGCGAGGAATTACCGCAAATAAGAAGGAGATAAATTGATCTGTAGGACAAAAACACGCGTGCTTGATCGCTAAACGTCCATACGATGCGGGTAAGAGTAGAATCTGAAAACCAGCCTGCAACACCAGACGGACTGCATTTACATGGGACTGGAGCAGAAAGAATGCATCATTAATCGTGGATGTATACGAAGATGACACGCAATAAACGGACCGGCATCACGTAAGCCACTGCGTCTTGTCATACACTCAGCCTGCTTGGCCAGGAAGACCCATTGGTGCAGGGAGCGGACAGAGAGTGAGGAGGATCAAGTTCTGATCCAGCTCCAAATGCCTCGTCAAAAACTACCGGACTCCCCATAAAATACTGAAGTGAACTGTAATGACTATGTATAAAGATTTCCGTATCGTGCTAACGACTGTGGCTTAAAACGATGCTCATTGGCTGGATAATTCGCTTCCTAGTATAACCCTCTGACTTGCAGTGGATCTGATGCCCCTTATGAATGACTCCTGGTACATAAGTCAGAGATAAAACCATGCGTTGCATACATGGACGTGCTGTTTAACTTCGCCGGACAGTAAGCCGTTGCCCGCATCTGACGGTCTTGGCTCTTGTCATAGGAAATGTCCGTTTTGAATGAGATAGCGACCTCTTCAACATCCAATATGAAAATTGCTTCGGACCACTATGGCAAGCAAATACGACAAAAATCCGCTTTGCTTTAAGTTGTTTTTTATACAATACGCTGCTAAACGCATACAATGAAACAATACTTTACACCGTCGCTTGCTACTGTCGAGCTCTGTAGTCTGGCCGGGCGATGAAGTGCTTGTCACTAAACCTCCAAGTAACCAAAATATTCCTTAGTTTGTCAACAAATGGGATTAGCAGGGTCTTTATATGACCAACCAATTCAGCTTTTGTACTGTTTATGGGCATATTTATGGCGGGAGACAGTTTGGTTGCTTCAGTGCCCAGAAGTTTTTGTGACGCTCTGACGTTTTGTAGTAATTTAATTCCTTAGACGAAAAAGATTGGTGTGCGTCATGAAAATGTCCCCTAAGAACTTATAAAACTTGTGGCTGCGCAATCAGGAATAATGGAACACACTTCTTTGTACGCGACCGAAAAGTGCGATAAGGGTGTAATTTGCGCTGAGGCGAGGATTTGTGCAGATCGATAAAGAGCTGTTCAGAAAAACCTATGGGACATTCGTCCGGTCTCACATAGAGTATGCAGTCCAGGCCTGGCGACCGTGGTTGAAGAAAAATTATTAACGACAGGGAAGAGTACAGACGATGGCTACGAAGATGGTCAAGAATCTTCATCATCTGCCTTACGAAACCAGGTTGACTGAACAAAATCTGTTTCCTCTCAATTACAGACAACTGCGCGGAGATCTTATTCAAACCTACAGGATTGTCAGAGGCAATGAGTGCGCCCTAGACTTTGATGAATTCTTCGAATTGGCCGGGACTGACCGTCTGCGTGGTCATCCCTACAAACTGCAGAGGAAGCTGACTCTTTCGGACGTCCGACGGAACGCCTTCTCCCACAGGGTCATTGGGGCATGAAACGGACTCCCTAATGTGGTGGTTCTTTCCGAAACTGTCGAATCCTTTAAGTGCGAATTAGATGCTCATTTGTTGAAAAACTATTGTACATATAATCACGATTGTTTTAGCGGCGGCAGTTTGCGCATGGCTTACACATACCGCTAGTTTTTTGAATTTCCGCATTTGCTGACGTAACTGATGATTCTATTTTTGCTATCGATATGAATAACGAGCACTTGGGCAAAAGTCTCATTCCTTTAATAAACTGACTTAAACTGACTTATGACTTTTGCGACAAGCCCTCCTACATCGCGAGTTCACTGCAACCCAAGAAAAGTAGGCTGACAAATGTGAGTGCATTGCGACAAAGCAAACGTGGTTATCTCGCAGGTACAACCTGTAATTCGAAGTTGAGCATATCCAAGTGCTGGCAAATGGATAAGAAGAGTCCCAGCAAAAAAATTATGCTTGTGTCGCACCCGCTTTTCGATTTCACAATCTACGGCTAAAGTAAACATATAGGCACGTCTAAAATGGTTTTTATAAGCACTTTTCTAAATCCCAGCCGAAATTTTATAGAGGTTGCAAACATAAATAGAACCGCTATTGTTACCTGTAGCATAGCCGTGTTCAGTTAAGGTCAAAAACTCGAAAGCCAGTTTATAGATTTAAAGATGTCTTTAACAGAATAATAATAAGCAGAAGAAAGCTAGCCGTACTGGAATCAAATACGCGTAAAGTCAAGCGCAAAATGCTTGAAAAATAGAACTACATGAGCGCACTTACAGACAGACAGAAATGTAGGAATTCTTTCGCGATTTAAAAACCCGGTAGTCGTGCATTTGCGACAATCTATATACCCGTCAGCCTGATATCAGCCCGCTGCAAAGCCATGGAGTAAACCGTTGAAAAGGTTCTGACGGGTAATTTGTAGACCTACAGCCTTTTGCCCAATGCACAATACAGCCTTCGTAAGGGGACATCACGTATAAACCGTCTCCTATGAATGATGTAAAGCTAGAGAAGGACATTCAATGGCAAACGCACTGTATGCCGCCTAAATTGGTTTTAAAGAGGTTTTCGGTAATGTTCCGCACCATTGTTTCATGTAAAATTTGAAAGTAATGGACATCCCAAATAGATCAATTCTTTCTCGTTGGTCGTTTCCAAGTAAGTCGTGTACAGCAACCATCAAAACTAAAATCTACGCAGATCAGAATCATACGCGTTTCGGTGTTGAGACCGATCCCTTTCTCTTGTTTATTTAATCATTGTTTATAGGAATTAAACTGAGAGTTTGTTATGCTTACGGGTAATACAAAAATTCGGAATAGCAGTAACCTTGTTTCCGACAAAACGGACTTCTAATAAAATATTTGTCGATTTTAAGGGTGGTCCCGCAGAGGCCTGCCGTTGTTCACCTGGAACAAATGCACCATGCTGCGTCTCGGGATCGAAGGCAAGTCTCTGTTAAGCGCTTTCACCATTTAAACGGGATACCACTCTGAAAGTCTGAATCTCGATAGTCTGGATCTAAACTAATGCCTCACAACCCCGCAAATATTTTCTCTGATACAATGCTACTCGAATGAATCAGGTACTGTTTTAATAGCGAATATTTTTATTGTGCTTGTACAGTTATTTCTAACGAGCTGACATGTAATCAGTAGGGTTTTCACAGGCTTTGCCTATTATCCTTACCAAATAAACTGAAAAAAAGCCAAAACACGGGATGGCCTCATCGTATGGATGACGAACGTTAAATCGCTTTGCACACCGTTGTTGAGGGGCCAAGTTCGCAAGTGCACTGGTGTTTGCCATTAAGCGGCCATTCGCAATGTTGGATGATGACTGTTTCTTCAAAGTATTTAGTACGCTGTAAGGCCGTATCTTAAATATGCGATCAAGGCCAGGGAGCTCTGGACGAAGCAAGTCTATAAAGTATACTGATGATTGCAGAGGAGAACCACAAAACCGTAAGAGTTCAAGGCGCACCGCCATATGAGACCCGTCTAACTAATCTAAATCTCTGTCTTCTGAATTATGGACAAGGACTACAGATTTTCCGTATTGTGCGTGGTTTAGACACTGTCATCCACTTTGTGTGCTTCTTCTAACTCGCCACTACAACCGACCTCCAGGGTCATCCCTTCAGTCTGCGCGTACCCCAAGGACCGTTGGGTGTGAGAAAGTATTTTTCCACACACCGCGTAGTCTAACTATGGAAAAACCTTCTGGATGCGACTGTAATGTCCCGGTCTGTGGAGATGTTTGAACATCGCTTTGACAGATACATGATGAAGCAACCAGCGTAATACGCGACTACATAGTCCTAAAAACAGATGCGCTTATATAAAATTGGTTTTGCCCTTATTTGACAGTGTACCGTTGCCAGTTATTCCGACTTGTGTACGAATAATGGGGAGTTCAGAGGCGTCAGCCAATTTTCCTCATTTTCACTGAACAGACTTGAAAAATCAGTAAAGGGGTTCAGTGCTTGTCATGGAATTTTGAATAGGTATGAGAGGCTCTACCAAGAAACCTGTCTGAGACGAGCTGCCGGATTTGTGTCTGCGGCCTGAAGAGGTTTAAATATTTGCTTTCTTATTACTGCCTTCTTCAAACCATAAATAAATCTGGAACGATAGATTAGGAAAAGGCTGGAAAGAGAAATCACCAGCAAAATTTACTTCTCATTTGCTCACCGGAATAATATTGCGATTTGCTAACTGTGAAATCCATGAGGCGAGAGTTAGAAATGTAACAGTCAAGCTCTAAATTGTGGTCAAAGTATC